CCCCAGTACCCCCCGGCTCACATCTCCTCATCCCAGACACCAGCTAGGGCTCCCGTCCCCTCAATGCTAAGCACAGCAGGGCAGCCACGTTCCCTTCTCAGCCCGGGCACCGCCAAACTCCCCCAACGCCCCCCGGCTCCCCACCAGACCGGTCTCCCGGGATAGTGATCCCCTGTGCAGGTGCCAGGCTGGTGCAGGGGGTCCCCGCCCATCAAGGGACTGCCACATGTCAGTGGGTAAAAAAGAAAAAAAAATTTATTGTGCAATCTGTGTCTTTTGTCCCAAGCAACACACACCTCCTGACAACATAAATAGAAGTACTGGACTGGCAGTGAGTGTGATTACCCTTCCATTAAGGAGAAGGTTCCTTTGGGATTGCAGCAATGGAAGATGCTGGTTCCTCAGAGAAGGGCTACAAGGCCTGGTTTCCATCAACACCTACAGTGTAGCACAGGTCTGGGCAGCACACAAATACACATACACAGATTCCTGTTTGGGGTGACACTGGCCATGCACAGTGTGATCACATTGTACACACCTGAACACCAACCATGGGCTCTGTGCATCTCTGTATCCCCTTCGCTCCCGAGCAGGGCTTTCCCAGGGCCAAGAGCTTCAGAACCCCAGCATCACCATGGCACCACCACAACAACAGGAAGGAGATGGGTGGCTGCTCCCAAGGCAAAGGGATCACAAATGCTCACAGCCTCCTTCAGTGGTACAACCTGGCTTCGGGTGGTAGAAGATATTTCTTTAGTCCAGCCACCCTGCATGGCCCAGAAGGAGCTGCAAGCAGAAGTGCCCCCCCCATGAGCTCCTTGCCTCCTCCAGCCCAAATCTCGGCTTTGGAGCTTTTCTTCTCAAAGCCACTTTTGTGGTAAAGGTGTACATAAAATCTCTAAGCAAAAAGTTCCATCTCATAACTGCTTCCTTGCACTGGCCTAGGGGTCCACAGGCTGGCTAACCCTCCTGTAATCCATGGGGTAACACTCATAGAGCAGTATCAGAGAACCATGTGGCTTCTTGTGTCCTGCAAAGACATCACTGACATCAGTGACACTGGCCCACACGGAGTGGGCTGCCTGCCTGGACAGGGCGGTCCTGTCATGATGGCTGGGGTGAGACCAGGAAATAAGTGGGGAAGGGGGTCTCACAGGAGCTTGGCACCAGAGCCCGCTGACCTGTGCAGTCCCAAGTGTCCAGCCCTGCTCCCCACTGGAGCCTGTGCTGTGAGCAGGTCTCCTGCATCTGAGGCTCTGCTCCAGAGAGATGGCACTGGGCAGAGTACTGCCATGGGTTCATCACCTGGAGAAGGTCCTGGGCACTTCTGCTCTCCCAGCTCCCTGGCAGCCAGCACTAGAGCTGGGTGAGCCTGCTGGCACCCTGGGATAGAGTATCTTGGCAAGCACATGGCATAAGCTGGGGAAGTCCTCTGGCAGCTAGCACAGAAATGGGGAACAATAGTGTGGAACACTCACTCCAGCAGAGCTGATGGGGTTGGGGCAGACTGGCACTTCTGCCCCCACACACCCCTTTGGTCCCCATCTCAGCATGGCTCCTATCTGCAGATGAGGTGGTAGTGACACCATGGCAGGACAGGACCTTGGCACTGACCAGGGTGAACAGGCCCAGGATGGGGTTGCAGAAGCCACAAAAGCCATGGCAGGACACGCTGTGCCCCTCCCAGGAATCTGGGGAGAAGTAGGTTGTCATGGCTCCCCATGCCCCACACTGGGGCAGCAATGGCTCCTTCCACCCTGGGGCTCCTCCTCCCAAAATAAAGACCCCAAAAATGGCAAGTGGCAGCAAGAGACATGTTTGGGAGAGCCAGCCCCCACACTGCCCCTGTCATGGTTCCCCCACTGCTACTCAAAGGACAGTAAGTCGGGGTGGGTCCCCTCCACCTCCCAGCCAGGGGTACGTGGCTCTGGCCGCCCTGTGCTCCGTGGTGCCTCATGCTCCAGCCTTGGTTTCTGTGAGGGCTTCTCTGTGGGGGGTGACAGCTCGGTGGCCCTTTCACCCACTCGCCACTGGCTCTCCTGGCTGCCCTCATGGATGAGGTCAGGCACAGGTAGGGCACCAGTGGGCTGGTTCCCGCTGGGCTCTGGGGTGCCTGTCGTGCTGGGCACCCCAGGGCATTCTGGAAGGGATGGGTCTCCCGTATCCAGCTGCTCCTCTGCAAGGTCAGGGTGGTCTGTGGGTGGTTCTGGAGGCTCCTCTGTGCTAATCCTTGTACTGGTCTCTGGCTGTGGAGCAATGAGCATGTCCTGCGGGGTCTTCAGGGCACGTGGTGTCCGCTTCTTGGCGATGGGGGGTGGGGGGTCCAGCCGGGGAAAGGCATCCAGCCCGACAGCCCTGCAAGCACAGAGAGGGAAAGTCACATACAGCCCCATGCTGAGGCCTCTCCAGCCTGTCCCAGTGGCCCCGCCACGGGGTGCACAATGCAGGACACTCACCCGTCCTCGACAGCCAGCTGTGCTGTGCCCAGTATGGCGCCCACGCCGGCGTTTGCCTCCATCGCTCCCACACTGGGGAGGCTGGTGGGCTCCTTTCGGCGCAGGAGGTCGTTCACCTTGGCCCCCATGGCCTTGCCCAGGTTGCGGAGGTGTTGGCTGCTGGCGGGGCGGGAGGGCTGTGGCAGAGTGCCCGCCGAGGAAGGGACGTGCTGCAGCCGCGGGGTGGGTGCCGTGCTGGCGCTGGTGTTCTCAAACATGCTCTGGTCCACTGGAGGGGGAAGGGAACAGAGACGGTATGTGAGCCGGGCTGGAAGGGCGATCCCAGCAAGGACAGCTGGCCTGAAGCTTCCTGCCAGCAGCATGGGAATGCAATCTTGGGGTCAGGGAGGCTGCTCCTTCAGCCCCGCAGAGGCTGTGGGCAGCCAGGCCATGCCAGGGCTGCACAGGGCACTGCATGCATGGGGGACAGCATGGGGCAAGACAGGGAAGCAGCGAGCCCAGGGCTCCAGGCTGGCACTGCCAACACACCGAGAGCTTCTCTTACCTGACACCAAACAACTTGGAAAGCAGGTTGTGGAAAGAAAGAGAGAGAGAGAGCATTTACCAAGGATGGCAAGGGGAAGGCCTGTCCCTTCCACACTGCCAGGTGGGGTGTGCTGCCAACCCTCTGCCTGGGCCTGCCACGCTACCTTGTGGAGATGGGACTCATGTGGTGTCATGTCACTCCAGGCCCTGGCAAAGCTGCAGGGGCTGCAGTGGGGGCACCCACAACAGCCTGGGCTCTGCACTGGCCACCGCACCAAGGCTCCCTCAGCCCAGCCCAGACTGGGTCTGTGTGGTGGGTGGCAGTGGGTACTTTCTGGGGACCCAGTGGGTTTCTGCAGTCACACCCCACCTCTGAGCTACAGTGGTTTCTCCCTCATGTCTTCTCAGCAGGAGTCCTTGAAGCAGTGGGTGCTGCCCCTGGGAGTGCCAGCTTGGACCCCCCATGGCTCTCCATGTGATGGCTCCAGCCAGCTGCTGGGTGTGCCTGGTGCTGCCAGGGCCTCAGTGCCCACCAGCATCCTGTGCCCAACTCCACCTCTGCATCCCAGGGGCATGTACTGGGACAAAGCCAACCACCTTCGCATCCCACGGAGACAGACACAGAGGAATGGTTCCCAGCACTGCTTCCAGCTCCATGGGGGCCAGACTCTTACAGGGACCCCCAACTCACTGCAGGCCCTTTCCTGTGCAGTCTGTGGCCCCACAGTCCTGCTGAACAGCAAGCTCCCCGTCTGCACCCACAGCATCTACCAGTCCTGGAGTTCATCTTACAGCTACTTCATTGCACCAAAGGAGTAACACAGCAGTGCCTGAGTAGCCTCTCCTCCAGCCTGGACACCAGCCCCCAGAAGCGTGAGCAGCCTGACAACCTCTTGTAGAGCATCTGCTCCTCCTCTGACTCCTCAGATGACCCCTAGGCCCCTGAGAGGGACAGGATGGCCAGCAACAGAGCCAGCATCATGGTCCAGGACATCCTCACCACTTCCCAGTGGCAGACGGTGCTCCAGCGTGGCTACCAGTGCATGTTGTGTTGCTGCATCTTCCCCACATTGTGGTTTGCCCAAGACCCAGATCCAGCACAGCTCCCAGGAGGGCTACAGCTGCAACGGGTTCTACTGCAGGCTCGATGCCCTGGGGGAGCAGGAGCTCAAGGCTCAGGAGGCTGCAGCCTCCAGGCTGTCCATGTAGCCCCACCAGCCAAGCAGCCACCACGGGAGGGCACTGCTCCATCGTTCCTGCCAGCAGCAGAATAAATTCTGTTAGGATCAGCCAGCCCTGCCTCTGTGCTGCTCTTCCTACACAACACTGCCATCCTTTGAGAGGCTCTTCCCTACTTTTCCTTCCCCAGCAGACAAAAATCTCCTGAGCTCCTAAAAGTGCTGCTTAGCATTTCTGCACCTCTGTAGGGAGCTCTGCAGATGCCAGGAACCCACTGGCACCATCAAGCTGTTGGGTCAGCCCTAAGACAAGCTTGCGCTGTGCAGTGGCTGAAGGGGAAGACTGAAACTACTCCCAGAGATATTCAGAGCACCTTACTCTCATGGGTAGCTTGTGGCTGGCACCACAACAGGGGTCCCACAGGGGAGTAGGCTGAGGTTGGAGGGGGTCTGTGCAAGGCCAGAGGATGCCATTGCTGGTGCTGGCAACCAGCATGGAGGGGGAAGGAAGTACAGAAAGACAGAGTCAGTGAGAAGAAAGAGACAATAGAAAGCCTTGAGAAATAGAAAGATTTATTTAGCAAAAGCCAGTTGACTAATGACAACACCCAAGGGTTAAGTGCACTTACATTGACAGATTGGTTTCCCAGATAGATTGAGTCAACAGTTAGTAATATGACAGTTGTAGGAAAAGAAAGGACAAAAAATATAGCTATAAATCCCCTGTCAAGGTCCATAATAAAAGTGAGAGGCTAGAGAGGCGTCTTGGAGGCAGTGCTGACTTAGGAGGAGGGTCATTTATACATGTACACCTGTGGTGTGGCATGGTGCTGGCAGGACACTCCGGCATCACCCCATCAGCCTGCGGGGCACCTGCCACTGTCCCCTGTGGGCAGAGTGCCAGGCAGGAGCCCAAACCCACAGCTGGTCCTGAAGCTCCTCAAGGGACACTGCCTGTGTGTGTGGAGCAGGAATGGACCGGAGCGGTGTCTCAGGAGATGGCTCCTCCCTGCCTGCTTTCTGAGGCATCCCAGCCTGGAAGAGACCTCTGTCCTACTGCTGCTCCTCCCAGGCTCTCCCTTCATCTGCCCTGTGTGTACAGCTGAGCTCCTGCTGTCCCCTCTGCTGAACAGTCTGTCTGCCCACATGGAAATCCATCTCCAAGCTCACCCATGCATCCCTACCCTGTCTGTGCCATGTCCTGTGTGTGCTGCCATACCCACTTCTTCCTCCTAGCTGGACCAGCCTCCCACCCCATGCTTTCACCTCCAACTGCTGCAAGCTGGCAGTGGGATGCTGGGGTTCCCAGCAGAGGGGCTAGCACACTGCTGTGCCCACAGCGGTGTGGGACAGGGCACATGGAGGTAGTGGGGGCCAGGCAAGAGGAGAACCCATGTACCAAACAACACCCTCTCCCACTCTGCCCCCTCTGTGGCTGGTGCAGGGGCTCCCCTGGACACTAGGGCACTGCTGGGGACACTAAAACATGTCCTTCCTTCCTTTCCACTGGGACTCACTAGCTCCTCACATCATCCAGCCCTGTCTTGTGGCAGAGGGTACATAGCACAGCTCATACTGACCCCCGGGGGTCTCATCCACACCTCACTCCTCAGCAGCCCTCAGTTCCAAGGGGACCCGGGCAGAAAGAACTGACAGACCTTCCTCAGCAGCCAGGCTAAGCCCTGGAGGAGAGCAGGAGCTGGTGTCAGCCAGGGGTTAGTCGCAGGCAGATCGAGCAGAGACAGAGCTGGCAAAGGCGAGAGCAGCAGGGAAGCAACAAAGCAAAGCAGAAGCAGGATAGGAGGGAGGATGGGGAGAAAGACAACTGTGCCAATCCCCACCTCATTGAGTGCTTCCACAGGGAGCAGGGTGGATATCAGGACTCTGGTTCATACCCCTTCAGTCATGGCCTCTTAGAGGCTGTAGCACCAGGTAGGTGATAAAAGTGCTTGCAGAAAAGAAACAAGCTCTGGGTCCCTTGGAGGCCCCCACAGATGGCTCTTGGCCAAGAGCATCCTGAGGGCTGGTGGGGGATCCTGAGATCTTGGATTCACTTTTCTGGAGGGTGTAAACCATAGATCTGACAGAGCCCCTCTGTAGACACCAGCAGTTCACTCCCCACCGAGGGGTGGAAGTGTGCTCATCCCTGCAGATACCAATGCCAGCACTGCAGGCCCCAGCCCTGGTCTGGAGGAAGACAACTGCTTGGAAATGGGAGGGTTTGTCTATAAAGCAAAGCAAGGAGTTTGTGGTGATGGGAGTGCAGGGAAGTGCTTGAAAAAGTGGCTTGAGAGCACCAAAAAGGCTTTGAAACCTGGCAGGTGTGTCAAAGAGCCAAAGGACTAGATGATGTCGGGGAGGACACTCCACAGCCCAGTGCTGCATTCCCTGGCTCCCTGCTCCACACTGAGCTGTGCCACCTTCTCTGCCCCACAGCCTGGGAAAGGAGTGGCTGTGCCTGAATGCCCTCCACCTGCCTCAGGCAGGGACAAACTCTGTCCTGGAAGTGCCACATCACCCTGCAGGAACTGTCTGCACCTGGCCAGCCTGTGCAACCTCATCTTATCCCATCAACTCCTTTCCAGGCTCATCCCCACTGTCCCTCTATGCCTCACCTCTCACTCACAGACCCACTACAACAGTGCACTGTCACCAACCCTAACGTAGCATGACCCTATCCTTGTCTTCCATTCTGTCCACAATACAGAGAGCCAGACCATCTGCCAGCCACTCTGTCCTTGCTCACCACCCCAGCATTGCCCCTTTGGTCCCTCTTGTCCCTGCTCCCTGCCCTGCATCTCCTCTCTTGTTCCCTCCAAAAAATCCTCTCCTTTACTGCTTCCCCGGCAGCAAGAGGGGATAATCCAGCAGGGATCCTTGCTTCTGCCTCACCTGGACACACAGTTTGTGGGGGGGTGGGAGCCAGGGGGGAGCACAAGGAGCTGTCAGCTCACTGTCAGCTGAGAAGCAGGGATGCTCCAGCTCAGCACACAAGCCCATGCACGCTGAAGCACAGCACGCCCAGCACACTCCCTCAGCACGACTCCACCTAACCCCTGCACATCTCCTGACTCAGCGCTGGAAGCCTCACACTCCCCCCTCCACCCCACTCCCTCCGGGCTGTCCCATCCCTGCCAGGGCCACTGGGCTATGGCCGGGGTCTGTCCCAGCTCTGGTAGGTCCTGGCTGCTCCGCGCCACCTCCTGCTGACCCCCCTACACCGCGATCTCGTCCTCCAGGCTGTCACCCAGGTCCTGCCTGGGCTGGACGTGGAGCAGGCGCGGCGGTTCCTCCTGGGACCAGGAGTCACGCTCCTCGCTCTCGTCCGTGTTGGACTCGTACTCGGAGGCGATGCCCGACTCGCGGAACTTGATGAGCTCCAGGCTGCCCAGCGGTGGCTCTGGGGCAGGTGGCCCCGAGTCCGGCAGAAAGCGGTAGCACTCCAGCTTCACCAGACAGTCGTTCCTACCTATGGGACTGCCCAGGGTGCTGGGGAAAGCTGAGCTGGGGCCCAGCGGCGGCGGGTGGGTGTCCTCGGGCTGCGGGGTGATCGGGTCGCAGAGGACAGGGAGGACGTTGGAGCGGAAGGTGATCTCCAGCAGACTGTCCTGGGAGCCTGCTGCAAGAGAAGGGCATGGCTGAGAGGCCTAGCTTGCCTGGGCGCCCCCTGGCTACCACGGCTGGCTGCACACTGCCCAGAGGAGGACAGGCTGGGGCCACTTGGCTACCAACCTCCCTACTGCCTGTTGAGAGGGGCTTATTTGGTGTAACTGCTGCTGACCAACAAAGAGCCAGTTCTGCAGGACAAAACGTTAACTGTCTCCTACCCCAGCTCCTGCAGGGAGCTAATGGCCACATCTGCTGGAGAGGAAGGTCAAGAAGGGGCTCTTGGGCAGGTATGGAGCTGGCCTAGAGCATGCAGCCACTGGGGAAAGCAGACATACAGCTGATGGAGGTAGATAAGTACCTGTCCATACAGCCCTCCCCAAGCCCCATCCCACATGGCATGCAAGCACCCTGCTGCACATGCACAAGCCTGGCCAGAAGGGCACAAATATCCCTCTAAACAAAACGAATGGAAACACACAAAAAACCCCAACAGAAACACCCATGAGCATGTGCCTCATAGCCCTTGCTAGAAGTGAGGGGAGAAGAAGTGACGGGAGCGCTTACTCGTCGTGTTCCCTGCCAGCTTCAGCTCCAGCTCCTGCACCTGTTTGACCAGGAGCGAGATGTGCTGCAGCAAGTCCTTGTTCTGGAGCAGGAGCTGGTGCACTCGAGCCTGGGCCTCCAGCCGTGCCGCCGCCTCTGCTGCCAGCTGGTCCTTCAGTAGGTGCACCTGTGGGACAGCCGAGAGGGGGTGAGCGTGGGGAGACGCTGCTCAAGGGTTGAGGGCTTCGACTCTGGCCACCACCACTCATCTACCAGGGCTCACCAGCATCCCACCCAACGGTGTGATGAGGCAGCCACTCCTTGCAGGTACAGCAGATGTGATGGGGAGCGTGCAGGTAGGTGGTAGTGTCACACTGGGCAGGTGGTAGTGTAACACCAGAGCACACTCAGCACATGGTCCCCTGGCCTCTCTGATGGCAAAGCTCAAGGCAAAGGGGGGCAGCACTGACCAAACTATCAGTCACAGGGGCAAAGGGTGCAATATTTTACACTCTGAGTAGGCACCACAGAGCCCTTTTGGATTGCAGGCAACACTGTACTTGGGCAGATATAAAGGATCCCCCAAGGATGAAGGTCTCTCTTCCAGAGGGGAAAGCAGCTTTGCAGCCTGTGACCCCAGAAGGCGCATGGGCTCTGGGGCAGCAGCTCAGGCAGAAACACAAACACTGATTTACTGATGCAAGAGGAGGAAAGCCATGGGACAGCACAAAAAGGCTGCTGGAGCCCATTGCTCAGCCAGGTCAGGAAGAAAGTTGAGCAGTTGTGGAGAGCTCTGCGAGGGGTCAGTGAACAAGTAAAGCTCAGGTAATGAGTTGGGTAAAGCAGCCAGAGCTGCTTAAATGAGGAATAGCTGCATGG